GGGAGTGGCAATTTAAGAAGAAAGCGGGGCGTGTCTTTTTTTCAGTTTTTACGTTGTATGACGACAAACTGTGCAATTATTCCTCTTCCACCTTTCATGGTATTCTGCTGTGATGCTTAGGAAATGAGTAATTGCAGTTTCAAGTTGTTCTTTGCTGTGTCGTCGTTTTGTTGCTCCACTACATTCTGTTTGACAGTTTGGACGTTCTGCTACATTCAGTTCGATAAGATATTATTACGCTTTTTTATAATATTTCTTGATTACTTTGGAAAAGAGTCCTGTATAAATGTGGTCTTGCAGTCCTGTTTCCGTCTTCACGTTGCTGAGATAATTTTGCTTGGGAAGATCTCAGTGTAATGATTATGGTGGGCTCGTCCGACATCCCAGAACAGGTCGTTAGTCTTAATGTGGGTGGACAAAGATTTGCCACCAGTTCGCATACACTCACGTGGATCCCAGATTCCTTTTTTACAAGGTTTGTACATATATTATGGATCAATATTTAATTTTAGCAATGCCGTAACAATGTTTTCTTTCCTGCTGTTCCGCCACTTCTATCACGTTTTCCAGCCTTTTGAGTGGCCGAATACCGACCGTACGTGATGACAGTGGAGCAATATTCATTGACAGGGATCCGGATGTTTTCCGTATCATTCTCAACTACCTTCGTACGAAACAGGTAGACTTGAGGTATGCACCTTTATGTATACTTTGAGATACTTCAAGAATAAGTTTTTGTGGTAATTGCTACCTTTGGGCGCTATTTCTGCCGCTGTATAGTTCAGATGGTATCTCGAAGATGATGGCTTTTTCAGCAATATTGCACCAAGTACTTTGAAGCATGAGGCACAATATTTTGGGCTAGCGCCGTTGGTTCGACGATTAACATTGTGTGAGGAGTTAGATGTGTCATCATGTGGCACGGTACTTTTTCATGCAATGATTCCTGCACCAAATCTTCCTTTCGAACGGCCTATAACTGAAAGAAAGGTGAGTATCAAGTATTACTGATTTTTTGTAAGCGTTCATACTTTGCGCTGGGTCTTGAGTGTTTTTAGTGTTTAGAGCGACTAGGAAAGTATAGGTATCGATCCAGCATTTTGAGCGATAGCTATACTTTCCCAGTTGTTGAAAACGCTGAAGCAGAGGATGTATGCACCCTTACTGGACTGTGCTGGTGTAGTAAACTCGTTCTAAATTTTAACGGGCGCTATTCATTTTGGTGAAGGCATTTTGCTGGTTTCCATTGATCACTGCAATGCCTTCTCGGGAGATCTGTAAATTCCTTTGGAGCTATGCAATAGCAGAGGATTTGTTCACATCTGACAAGAGCCTACAGGTCTTACAAGATGGAACGTGTGGTCAAACAAAGAAACTAGCAAAATGCAGAATGCCCTTTCCAAGCCGGACAGCGCCTCTTGATACGGTTCTTTCTGATAGCCCGCGACAGGCCTAGTAACCACTCGACGTTAGCTACTAACTGGCTCTAGCAGTGCGCTAGTCAAACATCAAGGTTCAGCAGTCCCATATGCCAAGAACGTTGCACGCTGTCTGTGACAAGTCAACTCACCTGAATATCGCATTATGATACCTCTCTTCGAGCTATCCTTCCCCCCCCCCACCGGGTAAAAACCTTATCATGGAAGCCGACGACGGAATAGCATGTCCTAACGAGCAACATTAGCGTATTGGAGTGGGGACTTATACTGGACTATCACCCCACGCATAGCACTGTGATGTTGGAAACTGTCTCGCCCACTTTTTGCTGATAATCGCAGTGAAACAATTATTATCGTTTGCAGACGCAAAACTGTACATCATCTTCCTCTGAAAATGGATCACAGCAGTCCAGCACAGGTGATCTTTCGTTCCAACTGTTTTTCTACTCCTCTCATTTCGTCTATATCGTCCTTTACACAAGATGTTACAAAGTCTGCGCCAAGCACTGACGCGGCGACGTGTGGATGTATGAGCAAGACCGCTACAGCACACGGTGGATCTGTGGTCCCAGACAGAGGTGATGGGTGGTATTCGAGACAAGGAAGCGGACATAGCACACCAAGAGTATATGGGCATTGCAAGAAGAGTTCATATGAACTCGCCAGATATGTAAGTAACTATGCTTCATTGGAGTTTTCGTCGAGTATTTTATTTCATTAGATGAGTCTCTAGCATCTCCACGATTGTTACAGATCCGCAACGAGTTGTCTCATCTGAAACATCAGTCACGGGTTCAGTCCGAGGATGAACCAGATCCGCTGCGTGTGCGTATAGTGAGGGCTCATCATAATTCAATCATCGTTGCTTACGCGTATTATGCCTGTGTTTATCGGTACGTTGGCCTTTTCTCTCAATTTCTATTCAAGTGTTGGAAAGTTCCATGACTGATAGCTAGATGCGACAAATTCTTTTTATAAGGCGTGCTGTTTCCCACAGTGAGAATCCTTCTTTAGAAGGTATTGTATTGCAGTATGAAGGAGTCGCTTGGTTGGCAAAGCGTCTATAGCACACCTCGTATGGAGTCGCTAATAAGACACGTAGCTCTCAACACGAAGTTTGGTCCACAGGTACGCTTGGATGAATTTTTGAGTACTACGGGTTCTATGACAGCCTATGCATTCAGAACACTGATAGAATGGTGGCTCTGGCTCTTTCGAATGGAAACATTCTTTTGTGGTCACTCGAGGAAGGTGATACTGCTGTGAAGATCGGTAAGTTGAACTATTCGCTGCGTGCTATGTTGGGGCAAGCTCTTTTTGTCAAGTGGACATTGCATACCGATGTTAGGATTCAAAAAAGAAAACCCGATTCTCCCTAGCACATGATAATCTTATTGTTAGTAGGTGTTTAGACGAAGGGTGCCCAAAAGTCTGAGGCAAGTTTAACAATTTTTGATAGCCAAGCGGTATGCATCAAGATTGTCTAAGGCGCCGTGAAGCGGAACGCGGAAGTCTTTGAAACCTGTTCCGGCGATTTCCCATAGTAAGGACCTGAAGAATACTGTAGGTTTGTTTGGAAGCATTCCAAAACCACGCCCGAAGTCCGCTATTTTAAGGCGTCTTCATACACAAAGGTTTGACGTTGGATTTTTTGATGACGTATCCTGTAGCACGCCTTCATACTTCGCCCCATCTATCTCACAGTGTCGGAATATGAACGTGCCTTCTCAATATTGGGAGCCATTTTTCGCTACTTCTTAATAATGGCCTACAACGCGCCTGGAGCGGGGTCAGAAGGGGGCAAACATCGCCCCCCAGCAATCTCCCTTCACCGGCGCTGATGGCAGTTCTTTGATTTCGGAATCCTTCGCCCTCGCCATTCAATCGCACCCCGCTCAACTAGTTTTCAGCGCAACCCGATTTTCCGTTTGTCAGTCTGCTGCCTGGACAATACTGCTTCGCCTTCCTATTGGTGAGTCAGATGGTTGCGCCTTGCCGCCTACAGTCCCGCCTCACAGGAAACAGTCGCCCCCCGAATATGCGCATGGTCAATGACGCGACTAATAGCCGCACGGTCCAGCGCGGGAAGGCAGGTCGTTAGTCATTAAGTTGCCCTTATTCCAGAACACGGGATGTTATCCCCATCGCCGAGACGCCCAGTCATCTGTTTCTACTTCATGGAGGCGGTATCTGTTGTAAATGGGCGCGCCTATTATTCGCTGCCTTCACCCTTTTGGGAAGTTGCCGTAACTTATTAACTTGTAGACCTAGAAAGTAGGTTTTGGTAGATTGAAATTGGTTGGGGGCCCTGTTCGGATGCCTCTTTTGGTTCCTGTTTTTGTAAAAATCTAAGTTATATATATTTCAGATGTTGTTGCTATATCGTGTTACGATACCGCCGGGTCATCACTTCTGTTGGGTTGTACAAACGGTTCTATGTACTATATAGACATGCAGAAGTTCCCTTTAAGGTCTGATTGACTTGACTCTTTCTACTTTATTGAACAGTGTTACACCAAAACAGTTTGTTCTGTATTTATTTGTCGTCGAATGATGTCGTCACGTTAAGGATGAAGGACAACGACCTGCTGGTGACAGAACTCTACAAAGATCCGAATGGTGACGGCATAACTTCGATTAGTGTTTACTTGACCCCGAAAACGAGTAAGTAGAAATCTGTAGCCCTTTTTTCCCATCGTTTACAAGCACTCGTGCTTTACGCGTCAGTCTCACAAACGTTCAGATGTATGTGGAAACTGGATCGAAATCGCTTACGGGACATCGTCGGGTGCTGTTCGCGTTATTGTCCAACATCCTGAAACGGTTGGACATGGACCGCAATTGTTCCAGACATATACTGTTCACAACTCTCCAGTTACAAGAGTCACACTGAGCACAAACCATTTGATCAGCGGTGAGTTCCCTTATATACAGGGCACCCCTGCATGAGTTGGGGAAAATCTTTGCTAAATACGACCCCCCTCCCCTTACCTCATTTCCCTCCTCTGGTACGGCCCACTTCCCCATCCATTTCCTGGTTACCATTTTGCTAAACTATCCAGAATCCTACCAGAATTCCGGAATTTTTCCCAAAAATTTCTCTCTTTCGCTATAAAACTGCCGCGCGGAGGGAGAGGGACCGAGAAAAGTCAGCAATCGAAAATTCTCTCAAGGGCAAATACGACGACAACCACCCTCCTCTTCTCCCTTCAATAGCGACCAAATACGGCCCCTCGCTGGTGATTCCCAATGCAACTTGCACTGCTCATCTATTCACCCGCTCGAAGATACTACCTTGGAGGGAGGCAACGTGGCGTTGCAAAAAACTTCTTTCTTCTATCCCCCAAACGAGGCCGCATCCGGTCTTCCGTTTGTGCACCTCAAAGTCCTCAGAACCCTGAAAAGGAGAAATCGTTCTGCGCGCCGCATGGCGTACGCCGATTACGATAGCCCCCAACGATTCTCTTACTAGTAGGGGCTAGTCTCAACTAGGAAATGGACAGAGAAGCATGCTCTGTCTATCGTTTTCCTCTAGAGGCCAACGCTTCTGTCTTCAGAATGTTTAACAGTATTGATTCAAACCATTTTGCTTTTTAGTATGTTCGGAATACAATCATGTACGATCATGGATGGTTACGCGTTTCCGTGGTATGATCAGTACCCAGCCGGGTAGCACTAGTCTAGCATCGTTTAAAGTGCTTACGTTGGATTCTACTGACGATTCTGTTGACAGGGACTACGCGGATCCCGGTAATTTACAATTTCTACCCTAGTTGTTCCGGTCTAGTGAGAGTAGAAACCACACAATTCAAGTACAAGTGTATGATACGTGATCTTCACTGTCAGCTTTATTCCATTGCAGGACCATATGGTGATCAAGATGGTGACCAGGTATTTGTTCAACGCGTAGTTCCTAATACTAATCAGCTTTTCGTACGACTAGCATCCACGGGAGAAAGGTATGTGGGACCTTTATCTACGCCATAAGATGGTTTCTAGCGATCCGAATTTGAAAAAACCTCGAGGTGAACTCTCTCAGGATATGTACTATACGGTCCGTAGACGGTGCTGCAATTTCATCATTCACCGTTCATGAATGTGAAGGATCGAATCGAATGGGTAGCCGACCACGTCGTTTCCTGTTTTGTGGAACTACTAGTGGAAGTGTGCAGGTGGTTACTTTAAAGCACATAGTACGCTAACACACAGGGTGTATGTGTCTTTAAGCTTTCGTAGAATTTGGCTTTTTTTCCAGTATGATATGAAGCTCTCGTTGTCTAAACTTTTTCAGCGTAGCGGAGAGGTCGATGCTCCGCAAATGACAAGTCCTGTGAGCCCATGTCGTAAGAGCGCGTTCATACTTCACGATCTGGTCGCTTTAATCACGCTGTCGGATTGCTCGACCGATTGGATTGCGTGACCACGACGGGGGGGGTGCTCCACCACACGGGGACTGGGCCGCCCCACATCGCAGTTCAATTTTTACAGCGCAT